CCATCGCCTCAGGTCGAGACCTGGGCTCCGTGGAGGCGCCAGGACCCAGGAGTGGAGAGGCAGGGTCGGGAATAACAGCTTCACCGTTGGTCTCTGAGGATGTCTGGGTTTCACCAGCGTGCTGGCGTATAGACGTGGTGGCAAGAGAGTTTTGGGGAGAGAATGGAGGCATGTGTGGACCCAGGTCGCTCCTTTCAGCTTACAATCACCCGAGGCGGCTCGGTGTGCCCCAGCCCCGGACCCCAGTGGGGCGTCCCGTGCTTCTTGGGTGCCTCACGCCCCAGACCCGTGACCAGCGCCAGCACCCACCCCGTCTCAGTCCTCCCGAGCAGCAGCAACACAGTTCCGCAGACCAGATGCCTCGTAAGCAGCAGGCGCTTATCCCTCAAGGCCTGGAGGCTGAAAGCCCAAGATGGAGGTGTGCGGACTCGGGGTGAGGGCCCGCTTCTGGCTGCATGTCCGGCACCTGCTCTGTGTCGTCTCATGGGGAGGATCCCTTTTATGGGGCACCGGTGACCTCGTCACCTCCCAACACCGTCACCCTGGGGTGAGGATTCAGCACGTGGGCTTGGAGACCCACACCCAGCCCACAGCGCCCAAAGCTGCAGCTCCCTTCTTCCCCACTTTCACCATGGCCTGTGGGCCTCCGGGCTGTCCCGGCTCCCACTCTGTTTCCCAGGGCTGTGAAGCAAGCACCCCAAAACCTGGTGACCTACAGCCACAAGCCTGGTTTGCCGAGGTGCCCTGCTTGCAAGCTTGGCTCAGCCCGGGCCACTGGACCCGCTTTCCCGAGGGCAGGTTGGCAGCGGGCCGGGGCCCTGGCTCTCCTTCACGCTGTCCTCCGGAGCCTCCCGGGACTTGGGGACGCCCCCAGAAGGCTCAGGCGGGGCCCGGGCTGGGGTGAGGCCACACTGTGTCGCCTCGACCTCTGGGCTGGGTGGGCTCAAGGGCACACGCAGCCCACCCTGTGGGTGTCGGAGCCACATCTAGGAAGAGCCTGTGGGCCGATGGCCGGGATGCAGTAGGAAGGGGCCGCTGTGCACCGTGATGTTTCCTGCCGGCCTTTGAAGGCGACGCGTGTCACGAGCCTTTCTCTTCCCAAGTGCCTGCTGTCGCCACACCCAGGTCAGGCCTGGACTTCAATAACGTTGGATGACCGCAAATAATGTCGTTTGAAATGACAGGCACACGGAGGGGCGGGTGGCGCCATGGGGCAAGGAGGGGACCGTGGAAGGGACCGTGCGTGTGCGGCCGGCGCTTCTAGTGCTGTCACGGGTGGCCTGACGGGGCAGGAGGGGGCAGGGAGGCCAGGCGGGAGGCCGGTGGAGGACAGAGCATCCCGAGCAGGGAGGGTGGATGGGCAGCGGCGCCCTGAACGGCAGGCGCCCCAGGCGCCAGCCCACACGGGACCTGGCAAGGGATCCGGCAGGCGGGGGCATCCTGCGTGCTTCCGGGAACGTGTCGCAACGGACCCGAGGCAGCGCAGCTCTTTCCCATTTTCGGGTGGACTCCCGTCAACCTGGCGGCATCACGGTCCTCTTGCAACTGTCCTCACCCTGACGCCCAGCGTCCTGCGAGTGTGTCCGATGGCGTCCACAAGGACAGCGTTGAGTCCGGGCTCGTCCGTCTTGTCTTTACTCAGAAGCCCCCGGGGGGATCCCGGTCACCGGGGAGGGGCTGGCCCTTCGTGCAGCGCTGCCTGGCTGGGCACGATGCCATGGTCAGGCAGGCAGACAGGGAAGTGTCAGGTGGGAGCGCGAGGAGGGGAGCGTCACCCCTAGACGGACTGGAGATGGCGTGGCCCCTCGGGTGCCTTGAGAACTGGACGCCGCCGTCATGCCCAAGCCGCGGTGGCCGAGCACCGCAGCCTGGGCGACTCCTAAGCGTCAGACACCTCTCTCGGTTCAGGAGGCCAGACGTCCAAGGTCAGGCACGGCACACTCGGTGCTTCCTGGTTCGTGACCAGCCCAAGCAGCGTCAGGACCACGCGGAGGCTGTGGGACCCGCACTCACTCCCGGGTCCCACCCAGAGCTTCTGTGTGGGCAGATGGGTGGGGCCTGAGAATCTGCGTCTCTATGGGGTCCACAGGTGGTGCTGCGCGGCTGGCCTTGGCACCTCACTTTGAGAACTACTGAACAGCCTGTGTTCGTCCGCAGCGAGAGGGGGTGCGGGGTGACCCAGCCGACCAGCAGCGGGACCTGAGTCTAGCCTGGCGCTTTGGACTCCAGTATCCATGCTGATGCTCTGGCACGAGTCCTCAGCCTGGCTCGGGTGGGAACCACGGGGAGCACTGAGAACACTGGCGTCCAGGCTGACCTGCCAAGCACATCAGGGTGTTTGGGGAGCCCCGGCACCGGGAGCTCCCCAGAGCCGCCAAGCGATCCCAGCAGGTGGGCCAAGGTGAAGCCGCGGGTCCACGGCCACCACCAGGGCCGCAGGCAGGTGGGGCCCCAAGTCCTGGCCGCAGACATCGCTGCAACGCCAGTCACATCTCTCGGGGCCACGTGACGGCGGGAAAGCAACAGCCAGGAGCACAGAGTGTCCCAAGAGGCAGCGGCGACGCTGGTCCCCGCCCGGCCTCTTGGCTGGCACCCAGGCGGTTGGAAGCGGGCCGCCCGCAGGGCCTCATCCTCACCCAACGTCCAGAAGCCTCCATCGCAACGGAGCGAGCGGGTTCACCTCTGCTTGAAGAAAGGCACTCTTTCTCCAAGCTCTGCCTCACGTGCCGGTGGCATTCCAATGACTGGCAAACAGGCAAAGATACGTTTAGTTAGGGATTATCTAGATTGAAAACTAGACCTGGAATTTTTTTCACCATCAACATTGCAGTAATATCAGCTGGCCGGACAAAAGCAAGGTATTTTTCCATTTAATCCTGAACGCTGAAAATTCTCCAGTTTATACCCAGGAAGACACTGGATTTTATTGATCGTGTCAGCTGAATACGTTTAAACTCTTACAGCCAGGCAAGGAAAGGCTGATTTTCTCTTTATTGTAAAGGTTGCTAGGTGGAAACCAGACACAGAAGTTGTTTGTCTTCTGATAGTCCTGTAGAGTCAGAACCACTCAAACGTGTTCCAGAAGCTTCGTTCAAAGTCAATGCCCAGACGGCCTCACGCACTTGACGCCTCTTCTGGGAATCCTGATTTTAGGTGTTAAGTCTTGACTTGTTTCAAGGAAGTGCTTTGTTATCGATGGAAAGAACATGCATTTCCCTTCTTTTAATTGACACGAAACCTTCCAGCTCCACTCACACCACTCACAGTCGGAACCAATGGGTCCCGCTTCGACCGTGACCGGAGCGCTCGGCCATGAACGGCCACCTTCCCGCGGCATCTTCAGATCTGAAGAGGAGGCGTCTGGCGCACTCAGTGCAGGAGATGCTGCTGATTCCGCCCTGTTCTGGGGTCTGTCCTCTGGTCCCAGATTTAGAGGAACAAGCTAAATCTCTCAATCACTCTCAAAAAATCAGTGTTGCTTCTTGAAGGAAAAGCCCAGATACAAAAATAAAACCACTCCTCTCCTGGGTGTCCTAGAAGTTACACTCACCAGGGAAAAGTCAGAGAAAACACTGACTCTGCAGAGCCACGCCAGTGTGTCCGGCTGTCGTGGAGGAAGTAGCTCCAGGCAGGCACATCGTGCGCCGGGGCCCCAGCCCCTGTGGCAAGTGCCTGTGTGGCCTGCGGAAGCGTCCTCTCCTTCAGACGCACTGGCATCTGCCCTCCGGTCGAACGACGCAGGTCCAACAGCCAGCCCTTCCCTTGCCTTCTGAGAGCCACGGTGGGACTCCCAGAAATGACCGCAATATTTTTTTAAATGAAGTTATGCAAATCTGATAGACTGAAGTAAATGTTTCATAAAACCAATGACTGTTTAAATTGTAGGACTAAATTGTTTGTATATAAATATTACCTTTTATATTCCATTTGAGCTTTATGTAGATGAGCACATTACTTTAATGACCTGCATTTACGGAGGGAGAGAGGCAAAGTGGCGCCCTGAAACCCTCACCAGCCAGATGGTGCCTTTTCTTGCATGAGATTAAAAGATGTTTCTCATTCACCGAGATGCTTCTGAGGCAAATTAATATCGCCGGCTAAATTGCTTGTGTTTTTGGAATAAAATTTAAAGAGAACTTTTTAAAGCAATTGATGTCACGGGTTCTCCGAGCAGATTGCTCTCCAGGTAGAGAGACATTCGGTAATTAATGGAAAGAATTCTGTGTTAATTGACTGCTTCGGGAAGAGAAATATAATGAGTCCTGATGAATCATGAAAAGAGATGTGCGGCTCGCAGGGACCCACGATTGCTCTAGCAGCGGAGAAATGTTAATTAATGGGAAGAACAATGATGTAAGAAATGGGCTGCACGATGCCCGCTGCCCACGGACACCGGGCAGTCCATGCGCTGTCTAGAGTGGAAACCACAAAGCACTGCCTTCAGTAGCAGAGACATGGGACCTCTTCCCACCCAGATTTCGGGAGAAGAGTCCAGTGCTCCTGGCGTTTTGCTTGAAGAAGCAAAAACACTTGCCCAGAGCTATATTTATTTCCAAGAAATGGCCTTGCAGTTCACCTCCCATCTGGGCCTCTGAAATCAAAATCATCTCCAGACCAAAACAAGGGCATTTATTAATGTCATTTAATTTCAGCACAATAGGTCATTCTGACTGCAAAGGACAAGGAGTGGGGAACGCGGTTTTCCCTGAGCCGAAATAAACAAATTCAGTTTCTGACATTTCCCTGCTGAAGTGAGGAAAAATTCAGATTCTCTTTGGGGACAGAATGTCTTTTCTAATCTAATGTGACGTCCCTCGGCAACCACACACCTTCCACTCCGCCCGCCGACTCAGGTTCAGAAAGGACGCCAGGTTTCTCGGCACGCAGGGCCTGTCGGCCCGGGTCCCAGCGTGTCGCCGCCACCCCAGCGAAGGCCCCGTGCCACCCCCCTGGGCCTGGCTCACTCCGGGCCCTCCCCACATCTGCCCAGGGCGGGGGAAATGACGCACCGAGGACAGCCAAAAGGGCAAACGGGGCTGAGACTTTGCACGGGAGCCGGACCCGACGGGTGGGCCAGGCGCCCTTGGCCAAAGCGCCTGCTGACCACCCACTTCCTCCACAGGTGGAACGTGCTGGGGCTCCAGGGCGCGCTCCTCTCCCACTTCATTGAGCCCGTGTACCTGCAGAGCGTCGTGGTGGGCAGCCTGCGCCACACAGGCCACCTCGCCCGCGTCCTGAGCCACAGGATGGAGGACGTCGGCCAGCTGCCTACCTCCTACCGGCACAACCGGCCTCTGCTCGGCGGTAAGAGACTCTGTCCCGGGGACCCGCGCCCTCCTCCCCGCCTCCAGGCCAGCCGTGGGCAGAGGGTGCCCGTGCAGGCTGGTGGCTGCTTAGGGTTAACGAGCAGAATGGCGACACCCCGGGGCCGGGCGTGGTGGCTCACGCCTGCAATCCCCACACTTTGGGAGGCCAAGGTGGGAGGATCGCTGGAGTACCAGGAGTTCCAGAGAGCTGGGCAGCATCGTGAGACCTCCCCTCTACAGATTTTTATAAAATAAGCCGGGCAGGGTGGCACATGGCTGTAGTCCCAGTGGTTCAGGAGGCGGAGGCAGGAGGATGGCGTGAGCCCAAGAGGTCGAGGCTGTGGTGAGCCACGATTGTGCCACGGCAGCCCAGTCTGGGCAGCAGAGTGAGACTCTGCCTCAAAATAAATAAATAGATAATATGTCCGGCTAAGAACGTGTCAACCTAAATAAAAACAGGGATTTGGGGTTGTGTGAGAGGTGGGTTTTAGAAAAGACACTGAGAGAAATTCAGGCCCAGCTGACACCGTGGAGCAGTGCAACATGCCGGCCAAACCCTGAGACACTGTCCATGCCCCGTCCCAGGCAGCCTCTGCTCCACCACAGCCAGCACACTCTGACGGAGGATTCCTGTGCTGTTATACGCTATTCAGATGATGATTTTAGCCGGGCTCGGTGGCTCAGCCTGTAATCCCAGCACTTTGGGAGGCTGAGGTGAGTGGATTGCCTGAGCCCGCAGGTTCGAGACCCGCCTGGGCAACTTGGCGAGACCTCATCTCCACAATAATCAAAAAAAAATTAGCCGGGCGTGGTAGCGCGCCTGTAGTTCCAGCTACTTGGAAGGCTGAGGCGGAAGGATCGCTGGATCCCGCGGTGGCCGGGAGTGGCCACTGCACTCCAGTCTGGGCGACAGAGTGAGACTCCAACTCAAAAAAAAAAGATGATTTTTGTTGTTTCAGATGTGCAGCTGAGCCTCGCCCCTGATGTCCCTCCTGCACGCGACCCCTAAGCAGTGCCTGTGTCCGCTCTTGAGGGACATTTAAAAGCCAGTCACGTGGGGGGACGGGCTGGAGGGACCAAAAATCACCTCCTGGGCCCACTGTGCACAGGGGAGAGCGGTGGGGACCCTTAAAGCCCCGACTTCTTCACCACGATTCCTGCAACCATGTAGACAAAAACTATTTGTTCCCCTTAAAGCTCTTGAAATAGAATGACATTTTTTTAGACACCAAACATGTACATTTTGAAAGGAAATCGTCAGAATTTCTCGCAACGAGAGAGAGAGCGATCTTGCATAGAGGTGATAATAGAAAGCACACTCAGACAGGCAAATGAAACTTCTTGAAGCTCCCTCAAGGTCAGTCTGCAGGGCTGCCTGGGCAACACTGCTCCTCCGTGAGCAAAGTGAAGCCCTGCGGTTCAGACGTGGCCAAGTCAGCCTCGAGTTACAAGGGGGCAGACAGGCTGGAAAAGACACCCTTAGTGGGACCGTCATAGGATGTACGTGAATGCTCTTGCAGGCGACACCCTGTGTTTTAAAAATTCTGCACAGACCCCTCCAAACCCACGGCCAAGCTCCAGGACCAGAAACCCACATGGAGGTTGTTTCCATCCCTTCGTCCCTCAGTGGGCACTGCTTTTCCTGAGAACAGCTACCCTAAGGAAGTTTGCCCCAGTTTTCCCCAGGGAATTTAACAAGACGAAAACTATGATGGGAGTCGTAATTAATAAAAAGCCATGCTTTGAATACTTATCCTTTCAGGAAGAAAGTGAGATGAACTAGAAAGCTTGTTCAACCCAGCTGAAGATGTGTGCTGCTCTGAGCTTTTAACCTCAAGAAAAATATCACACAATGAAGGGGGAAAAAGTTGGGATGAGATAAATTTTTTGTTCGTGTTAATGGCATATTTAACAGACATGTTTTCCAGTGATTAATTTCCAAGTCCACACTGAAGATAAGATGATGGTTATCTTACAGCCTCCCCCAAGGTCATGGCAATGAACATGGAATTTGAGAGATAGACCCAGAGAATTGATTGTTAGAACCATGAGTTGTTTAAGACTCTGGTTTATGTTCACACGAGGAACATTGCCGTATTGGTGATAAAATAGAGAAGAACATCAGCTGTCTTTCTTCACAGCACATATTTTCCTGAAATAGTAAAAATGACTAGCTGGTGTATCAGAAACCCTTTCAGACGTCCATGTTTCACAGAAACTCAATTTGTCAGGAAGCAGTTTGGGGACTTATTGAAATGCTCACCAATGCTGGCCTGTAACTTTTGCCTATACCACCTATTTTTTTTTTTTTGATTCAAAATATCTCTCTGTGGCCATTTATATCCATATTTTTGTGTGAGTTCAATTTTTCAAAATGTTATCACACTAAGTTGAAGAAGGCTTCTTTAATTCAGGAGAAATTTCTGAAATTAATGATCATTAATTGTATTTTGCAAAATAACTCAGTGAGATAACAGCAAATATCTTCCTTCATCCAAACAGTAAGTAATGTGCAATACTATTTTTACATGAGAGTAGACAGAGGTATATTATGGCAAAATCCACAAATTTTTTATCAATACTTAGGATAAAACTCATGAGCTTCAAAAAAGTATTTCAGCAGACTGTTCTGCCTTGCAGTCAATTTATTCTCCTGTGCCCTTGCAGGAATTTTCAACAGAAAAAGTTGCACATTCTGCTAGAATAATCTAAAAATAATCTTAAAACTTTTCATGAACACCAACAAAGTTACATTCAACAAAAAACAACTTAATACGAAATTTCTATAGATAAGCCCAGAACTTCCTAGACAAATTAGATGGCACAAGGTTTATGATAGATTATAGAAAAACTGTATTTTAGTCTTCTGGAGAATTCTTTTAAAAATATTTTAGAGATTGATTAACTTTCATTTAAATTCCACCGTGATTTTACGGTGTTGTTTCCCCTCAGAATTTAAGCAACAGCCGTAACTGCATTGCTCGTGAAGATTTTACCATTTTCTCCGAGAAGACACTTCTCCGTCAACACATTAAGCTGATCCAAACCTGAGGAAGTTGGTCAGCGCGATCCAGGCATGCGTGCGCCCATTTGACAAAGACGCGCTGCTCACTCACTGGGTGCCAGGCACAATCCTACCTTAGGCCGAGCACATTCCCATGGGGAAGACGGTCAAACATACCCACACAGTAGGAGTGGTTTGTAGAAAAGCGGGGCAGGGTGGGGTTAGAAAGGGACCCTCAACTCTAAACAGGACCGGGAGCTCATGAGAGGGTGACATTGGCGCAAAGTCCTGGAGGAGCGAGAGAAGGAAACACGACCGGAGCAGTGAATGGGAGGAGGGTCCTCGGCATCTTAGGAGACAGATGGGGATGCCGCAGCGGGGGGGGGGGCTGACTCGCCAGGACACGCACAGGGACGCCGGCTCGCCTGCTTGGTGTTGAGAAACACCCGGCGAAACATCTGAGTGGAGATTTCTGTTGCATCCCCAGACCGGAGATGAGATCCCGGGGGCCCAGCTTCGGGGGTGACCAAGGGGTGTGGGGCTGTGGGGAAGAGGATTCAGGAGAAAGTCGCCCAGTCGCCCCGCCCTGCCACCACCTTAGATGCCAGCCTCTCTCAGCGACGAGGAGCAAAAGTCTCTTTTCTAAAAAGACATTGCACGGTATTGAGGACAAACAGGCAGAGTCTGGGAGGCTGGAGCGCCCCAGCCCCCAAAGCAGCGCCGCGAACACCGAACGCCGAGCGGGCCTTCTGGATGACCCCAGGGGGCTAGCGGGGGAGCAGAGCGTCCCAGGCCAGGATGTGGGGCGGGACAGAGGGGCAGGGAGGTGAGCGCCTCCCCGGAGGTCCCTGAGAGGCTGGGAGGCTGGGAGGTGCTTCTGCAGCCACCGAGGGCACAGGCCAGGAGGATTCAGGTCTCCGGTCTCCCCGCGTTGGAGACACTCAGGCCTGCATCTGGGGCCCAGGTGAACCCCTGAGGGCCAGGCCCTGACAGAACTTACAGCTCCACCTTGTCTCTGTGCCTAAATGTAAATTAAGATGCCCGACCGCAAGGGAGATCACTATCACTCGACAAAAAAACTGTAAATGGAATATTGCCACAGAACAGAAACTGAGTACAGAAGGAGGGAAGACCAAACCCGGCAGAAACTGCAGACCGGGAGCAGACGCACAGCTCCAGAGACCGGAGCTGACAGACACAGACCTCAGTGTCACCACCCTCAAGATGATGCAAGAGACTCTTTAAAAGCCAGGATGGAAAACTCAGGGGGAGAGATGAAAGTTTAAAAAAGAACCAAGTGGGAATTTCAAAATAAGGGAAATCAAGCAATCAGTTTAACAAGGGATAATAGCAAATTAGACACAGCAAAAGAGAGAGTTTATAAATTGGAACATAGTTTTGAAGAAAACAACCAGATGCAGCAAGAAGGTATATTGGTTAGAGTTTTCCAGAGAGACAAAAAGTAGGAGGATAGGCAGAGATAGATAGTAGATACCTAGATTATAGATAGAAGATATAGATGCATAAATAGATAGATAGATTTTAGGTACGTAGAGATTTGTTTTAAGGAATTGGCTGGCACGGCGGTGAGGTCTGGCTATTCTGACATGCACGGGGCAGGCCTGCAGGCTGGGAGTTTGCATGGGAGTGGAAGTTGCCGTCCAGAGTCCGAAGGCTGCACCGAGGCAGTTTCCTCCGGGACCTCAGTCTTGGCTCTTAAGGCCTTCAACTGACTGGATGAGGCCCACCCAATTTACAGAGGGCAACTAGCTGCACTCAAAGATACAGCATCAAATGTTAATCACCTTGAATGACACCGGCACAGCAGCATCTAGGGTTGGTGCTGATGTAGCACCCGGGCACTGCAGCCCAGCCAAGTGGACACACAAAATCACCCCTCACAGATGGAAAACACAGGAGAGAGGCAGCAGTGAGAAAGTCTAGATGCCTGTGTAGGCGTTGGAGAAGAGAAGAAAACGCAGCTGAAGTGACGTTTGAAGAGATCCTACCCAAACGGTCCAGGACCTCATGATGAAAGTGTCAGCCACAGACTCTAGGAAGAACTGCTTTAGTGCTCCTCTCGGTAGTAAAATCACTGGAAAACAATGGAAAAAAGCAGTCAGGAAAGGAAAGACAAATGAGCGTCACAGGGGCTGAGTCAGAGCAAAGTTTGTTCTCAGAAGACAAAGGACGAGGAAACGGCGTCTTGAAAATGCTGAGAGAAAAATTGCCTCCACTTAAAACCTCAGATCCTAAAACCTGAAATCGAGGAAAAGCATCCTTCAGAAATGAGGGCCAGGAATGCCTCCAGACAGGCAGACGAGGCGCTCCTCCCCCCAGACACGCCGCACTCAAGGAGAACCAAGCATGGGATTGGGCGGAAGGAAGGTGGCCCGGGTGGATGGGGCAGAATGACGGGCGGGTCGTCTGCGCTTCCAATCTGTCGACGCTGGCTTTTGATGACACGCTGGGAACTACAGCAGCAAGAAAGACGCACTTGGGAGCCAAAAGAGGCTACCCTGCCCCCAAGTCCCTCTGCCTCGTATCTTTTGAAATAGCGACCATCCTGGCAGAAGCCAAGAAACTCATCGTTATGGAGATGAAAAAGGAAGAGGCTGCTGCCTTCCTCCTGCATGGAAATGTCTCCTCTTCGGAGCCCCCGCGTGTCAGCAGCCTGTGCGTCCAAGCTCCCCCCCCCCGTGCTTGTGCCTGTTCTGCCCTGCAGAACTCTCGCCTGGAGCCCATCCAGCCCTGCAGACCCGCCTCCCCGGGGAGTGAGGGGGTGAGGCCACGGCTGGGCCTTTGTGTCCTGGCTTCAGGGCCACCCCCCAGTCCTCCACGATTCTCACAGCAGGAGGGGGCAGCTGCCACCTCATTCCCACGCCGTCTCCAGTCTCCATCGCCCGTTCCGCCTTGAATGGGCTCTATGGAAACCAGGCAGTAGCTGCGAAGCTACTGGCCATCGCAGCGGGGCTCGCAGCCGCGACAACAAATGAGACGCCTTTCTTGGCCTTCACTGTTGGCCCGAGGCCTTAAGCCCACACCGTTTACCAGCTCCACTCCTACTACAGGTGCCTGCAGAGAGGGGCTGGCTGGGGGGCAGGAAGAGGGAAGGAGGGAGAAAGGAAGGAAGGAGGGAGAGAGGGGGAGGGAGGGGGAAAGAAAGAGGGGGGAGAGGGAAGAAAAGGGGGCGCCATGCCCAGCGACTGCCAGGCCCTGTAGCGCCGGCGTGGCCGGTGTTGGGGGCCTACGTGGAGGCAAGGGCACCCGGTATTCTGACCTTTGCTCCATGCTGGCTCCCTCGTGTGCCGGCCTCCAGCTCCGTCCGAGTGGCCGTGGGGCCCTGATGGGGCTCTTCCTCACGGCCGCGTGGCGCTCTGCCGCGACACTGCCCTTGCCAAGGCAAGCACGGATCTTCCTCCGGCAAGGCGGCCTGGAGAGCTGGAGAGCCATGGCTGCCCTCACACCGTGGGGCGGGTGGGCGCCCCCTCCGTGCCGCGGCAGGCCGG